TTTTATTGGATAATTACATTTATTTCATAATCCGTTAGTATTACTGTTCACGTAACAAAAGCTAGATCTAGTATTAACCTCGTCTAGACTTATCTAGCACATGTTTAGGTCAATTAAGGCCTATCGGAATTCGATACCGGAGGTGTTTTAGTTCCTGTTATTGGTTAATGACCTCGGTTATACAATTACTCGATCCAATTTCGATATTCGTTACCTGTACTGCACTAGTTTCTGATAAGGTACAATCGCCGTTATCTAAGCTGTAAACATGCTTTGGTCTAGAATAGTACACAAAGGCACAATGAAGAATTCTGATTTGTTGGTTGTAAACAAAATTTCAGACCGGGATTAAATTGACAGTAAAGGCCTTTTTATACGACGCGATTTTCTTAAAGTTATCATTATCTTGCATAGCCCAAACAACTTTTAGACTATACAAAACAATTATTGCTTCAATTTTATTGTATGCAACAAGTAAGAAACATGCATCGTGTAGGGAAAAGTATAGGAAGGGGAAATGTTCTCTTAACGTGCGTCTCCTCCTCCGTCAATTAAGGGTAGGCAACGCATCTGGAATTGCGGATGTCTATGAACAGCGGTCTCTTTCCATTTCGGTGGATTCAGGTTGCCGCTTGCTCGTTTCCCACCTTATGTTATAAAAAAAACGCAAATTTTCTTAAATTGGTGCATTGAAAAGTTTTAATCATAGACATTTGTCTTTTGTATTTAAGAATCATTGTGAATATTTGTTTATCTGATGACATTAAAATACCTCATTATTAAAGCCTAACCAGTTTTACATTTACTTGTATAACAATTGCGAAATGTAATTACCAATTACATTATACCAATAACTGTAAAAATAGTAAAACATGTTTTGACAAGTGGATTTGGTAATTATTTTAACGAACAAGTTACCATTATCAATGAAAAAACGGTCGCTGATATTTGAAATTAAAAAAAATGTTCTAGGTCGCATGTATAATTTAAAAGTAGTTTTTTTTTAAATTCGTGTTGTTGGTATTAGCAAAGGTTTCGATCAGCACGACACGTCGTTATAGAATGTGCACCCACATCATTAACACGAGATAAGACTGTTGACCTTTGCACGCTCTAATTACGTATAGGAATCGAACCGAACGACTATCGATTAATTAGATCAAACGATTGACCCCTTTAAACGTCAAGGTCTGTAGCTTTTCCCGCAATTTAAATCCAAGTAAATCGTAATATAAGGCAAGCAAAAGTAAAATTTTCTAACCATTGCAACTTTCAATACGCGAACGCTATGTGATTTAATTTTGTACTAGAGTCTAAGTATAGGTAATGAAAAATGAAAACGTCTGATTGTCTCAAAAAATGAATAGCCAAAGATAAAACGATTCCGAAAGTACGCATTACGAAAGTAGGAAAGTGATACAGATCTTAGGATCACTGAAATCATTTCGCGTGTCGTTTGCAATGTTGCGAGAACCTACTGTTGTCCCTTTCACTCTCATTGAATAAACAGAGACTTCAATATCTTAATGCATGACAGTCTAAACACATTCAGAGGAATGTTTATGCGATAGGTTTCTTGCCGCGGTTGAACGCGCATTTCGGCCAGCGGTATACGGTGGCGGCCACGGAAGCCCTGTCCGAGTTCGAAAGGACACAGCTAAACCAACGAGCGGCTAGGAATCAGCTTGAAAGGGTTGTCGATTTGCAGGCAGGGAAAGGACAGCCCTGGGATTTAGCTGACAGATTTGTAAGTTGGCACATTGTACGAAAGTATGGTCAAATAGAATCGAACTGCACTTAACGCAATTTTTGCCATGCGGGATTTTGAAAAGAAACTGCCTTTCCTTTAGCTGAGTTTTAATACATTTTGATTTCGATTGATATTAAAAATATAAAAACATGATATTTTATGT